CGTGCAATTTTGTAGGTGACTTCTGAAAAAACTATTCGCTTTTTGATCGAAATCATAGTACCTTAGGTTGACAAGCAACAAGCTGTGGTTGATTATACTGAAAGCTTTATAATAGACAAGAACTGCAATCAGCTTTTTGTCTAAAGCTCCGGAGATTACCACTGAAAGTAACGAGTTTTTGTCTAGTTTTATTGTTACTGACATGCAAAGTCAAGCAGACAAGCTTGTGATCTTATACAGGATGTCCCAGAAATAACACGCCAGAGTGACACAGGAGGTAGGTCAATCACATACAGGGTGTTTCAGTTTATTGTTGCATAACTTTAAGATTCGATAGATCCTTTAAAATTAATGCATAAAGTCTATATAAACATGGGTCGAAAAATGCGTGGCTTCCGAAATACAGGGTATTTAAATCTACTTTCTAAAATAGTTTTTTTTAAATATTTCGAACAATATTTGACGTATAACAGTGAAAATTGGTATACAAGGGTTTTTTGGTACGACAAAACGGTGTACTGTGTGTGTTTTACTGTAGCCGCTAGAGGGCGCTCTCTACTGTACCTGTAGTGTTTTAAAATTTAAAATTTTTTCTTAGTGCAATTTTTTCCTTTTTGAATAAAAAAAACCGATTCTTCGCACGTTTCAACATAAAAAAGCTCTCTTGTAAATTTTCGTTATAGTTAGCCGTTTTTGGGATATTTCGATTTTTAAGGTTCGATGCATTTTTAATTATTTATGATAAAATAACGTTAAAAAGTCAGTATCTCGATAATTTTTAGAAGTAGGCTGTGACTGCAAATATTTTTGAAATTGAAAGCAGAATAAGGTTAAACGTCAATTAGTTGACAGTTAGTTTTGTTGTCTGTTGAAACCTGAAACGTTTTTTTGCAATTGTGAATGCACGAAGTTTGGTTTCTTTTACCTGTTTTTTTTTTGTAAGTTTTATAAAAATGCCATTATTATTCTCCAATCACGAGTTAGCGGATATTCATTTTGTGTATGGCTTTGTAAATGGAAACGCAGCAGAAGCAGCCAGAGAATACGCACGAAGATTTCCAAACAGACGATATCCAACTCGCTCAGTATTTGTAAGAGTGCAACGCCAAATAATTGAAAATGCTTTTGGAAATCTCCAAACGGATCAAAACATAAATGTTCGTCAGCGCAGATTTACCCGTATGATTCTGCGTGAGTTTGATAGAGATCCGACCACAAGTGTTAGGAGAGTTTCTGGTGCCTTGGGAATTTCAGCAAGCCATGTTCACCGTGTTCTTAGAAATGACCATAGACGTCCTTACCATTTGCAACCTGTGCAAGGACTACAGCCAGGGGACGGAGAACGAAGAATCACATTTTGTCAGTGGATTCTTGATAGAACTGATAATAATAGGGAGTTTTTAAGTAACGTTTTATGGACCGATGAGTCATGCTTCACTAGACGTGGAGTGGTAAATTTTCATTATCAACATATTTGGTCGCATGAAAATCCGCATGCAGTTCGGGAAAGAAATTTTCAGCATGAATTTAGTGTGAACGTGTGGATTGGTATCTACCGTAATCGACTATTTGGACCCTACCTTTTGCCTGCAAGGTTAAATGCTGTGACCTTCTTGGATTTTTTAAAGGCTGAACATGCAAATATGTGAGATGATGTTATGTTAGATTTAAGAAGATTTGCCTGGTTCCAGCTTGATGGTTGTCCAGCTCATTATTCGAGAATAGTTAGAAATTATCTGGACGAAAATTATCCAGAAAGATGGATCGGCCGTGGAGGACCAGTCGCCTGGCCTCCACGATCCCCTGACCTAAATCCATTAGATTTCTTTGTGTGGGAACAATTGGGTTTACATTTCGAGCAACTACTTTAGATTTTGTATGTTTTTCCTAACTATCCAATAGCATTTTAGTTGTAAATAATTAATTTAATTTGTTAAAAATAATATTGGAGAATTAAACAAATTAATATTCTGTTTTTTTGTGTTTATTTGGAGTTAGGAATCATTGCTGTGTATAAAAACACAATCTAAGCGATCATCTTAATTACTTGTAATGCCCAAATCGAAAATGTAGATAAAATATTATTTTCCATAATTAAAAATGCATCGAACCTTAAAAATCGAAATATCTCAAAATTGGCTAACTATAACGAAAATTCACAAGAGAGCTTTTTTATGTTGAAAAGTGCGAAGAATCGGTTTTTTATTCAAAAAACAAAAAATTGCACTAAGAAAAATTTTTCGGTCATTTTAATACACTACTGGTACAGTAGAGAGCGCCCTCTAGCGGCTACAGTAAAACTATGCTATGGTTCGTTTTGTCGTACCAAAAAACCCTTGTATACTAATTTTCACTGTTATACATCAAATATTGTCCGAAATATTAAAAAAAACACTATTTTAGAAAGTAAATAAATAAATTTAGGAAGTCACGCATTTTTCGACCCATGTTTACATAGATTTTATGCATTAATTTTAAAAGTTCTATCGAATCTTATAGTTATGCAACGATAAACTGAAACACCCTGTATAATCAACATGACCTTAGTAAACGTTTTCTAGGTTTCGAGGTATTGACTTTAATTTTAATTATTTTGTCTCAACCAACTACTAATGGTAGTAGTAATGATAAGTTAGAAGTTGTTAATAGCCACAACAGGCAAAAATGGAGCAAAAAGTGGGGATCTTTTGAAAAAGCTTAAAAGTGGCAATTTCTCGAAACCTAGAAATCTTTTACTAAGGTCATGTTGATTTTATTTGATTGATCTGAAGTCAGTCTACCTTCAGTGTCCCTCTGATACACACTGTATAGAATTAGAATCAAAAATTAGAGAATCACTGGTATCAGAAGAGGTATGAAAGTTGGATCTAACAATGTCTACCTACTTGTTGTTACTCTGGTTGGTTCACTAACCATATGCTTGAAGCCACAAGTAGTAAAGCATTGGAGTGGTCTTGGATCCTCACTTACGATGGGACATCCATGTCAATTATATTTTAAAGAAAGTTAGATTTGTATCCTACAAAATTAAATACCTTGGGAATATATTGACAGAAAAATATCTTCGAACATTATACCATGCACTGATTGAGCCTCATCTCACATATGGTATATTAGCATGGGGAGCTGCATGTTCCTCACATATCTATAATTTAGATGTTTTTCAAAAAAGTATTCTAAAAATGATATTTAAAAAACCGAAACTTTATCCCACTGAAAAATTATACGCAGATGTTCGAATGTATGATATAAGACAGCTTTATTTCTTACACAGTATCACTCACTACCATAAATTTGTAAACACCGACCAAAAAATTAAACATAATCATTATACCAGGTACAAAATTCGTGGCACAGTAGTTCCTCAACCGCATAAATCTATAATGCAGCGATCATATCTCTATTTAGCGCCTAAATTTTATGAACTTATACCTAAAGATTTAAAAGATTTACGTTTCGGAAATTGTTTCAAAAGAAATTTAAAAAAGTGGCTACATTCTATATCTAGGACTGAAATTCATAAACTGATAAATACGAACATCAACTAAATACATAATCTACTGTAGCTAATTTTTGTCCTTTTTTGTCATTTGCATTCTACAGTTTCAACTTAAATTTATTGGTCCATGTACAGGCGATGCCTTCTATTGGGCCTGTTTTGATTTTATATTTATTTACTCATATTTTTTGTTATCTTTGTACATTGAGTGAATAAATATTATTATTACAAAAAAAAAATATTATTGATTTAGTAAATTGTCAGACAGCATATTAACATTGACGTCACGCATGACAGAAAAATCTAAAAAGCTAGTCAAAGTAGGTGGTAAAATAATATCTAGAGTTACCACACAATGCTTATGGTAAGACGCGTCATGGCTTTACCTCATTGTCACCGATTTTGCTACGTGGTTTTTCTGCGATTACTTCAACGCGTTGTGAGTGTTTTCGCAAGAGCCATAACACAAAAGAGGATGTTTTACAATGCATTATGAGCTGTTTCTTGCTCAAAAATCGTTTCCGTTATTTAGGGCGTAACAGAGCCATCTTTCAAATATCATTTAGTGGATAACCCGACAGCGTATACCAACCATCGTTGGTCTCGTGTACATAACATACGCCTTTAGCGCGTTATTATTTCCGTTAAATCCAACGCTTCCTTCGCCGAATCATCGACAGCTGACAGAATAGCACGCTTCTCGACTGCCGCACGGCAAAACTACCACGGAAGCGCCAACCTCCTTTTTTGGTTTTGCATCGACTGTCATCCATAAAGCCCTACAAATCAAGGGAAAGATTAGATTTTTGAGCGCTCGTGCAAAGCTATATCGTGCATACGAATTCTGTAAAAAAAAGGTGGAATTCGTGATAAAAGCCATAAATCTGGCTAGATGTGAGTTGATTTGAAACGTACGGGCTTTATTCATAGCGATTTGAAACGGAGTGACACGTGTGGAGAAGTATTCTTCAGATTGCAGTTATCGGAATGAACGGTGTTTCAAAGCCTCATCTACACGCTGTAGCATGCTAGGTTCAATTAGTAACATTTGGGCTGAAAAGTTCGTAGGCTGGCACAGCAAAAAAAAATTTTTTTTGATAGAATTGGATTTTATTATTCAACATAGCTCCCTTCGAGGGCGATACAACGATTATATCGGCCATACAACTTTTCGATACCATTTTTATAATTTGGTTTGTCTTTAGCCTCAAAATAAGCTTCAGTCACGGCGATTACCTCTTCATCGGCGCGAAACTTCTATCCAGCGAGCATCCTTTTGAGGTCTGAATACAGAAAAAAGTCGCTGGGGGCCAGGTCTGGAGAGTACGGTGGCTGCGGAAGCAATTCAAACAAAAAACGATTTTACAGCAATGGTGTGCATTTAAACAAGCCGCTATCAAAGAAGAATATTTTTGATGATATTGTCAATGTGTTAACAAAAAATAGATGTGGAAAAAATAACTATATTAGATTTTATGGGCAAAAACTGGAGTTGGCAGTTGTTCATTTGAATAGAAAAGAAGGAATTTTGGAGTTAGCAACTTTTATTTTCAGTACAATACTTATTGTAGTGTATTCAAAATGATCAAAGCATCTAAACTAAAACATCTAAAAATTCACAGGTGTTACAAATTATTATAAAAATGGTGATAGTCCGCGGGAATAGTACAGTTAATTTCTTGAAGGTCGGAATATTTTCGCGCAGATATTGGGATTTTATCTTTATAGAGATGGTCCAACACCGTCCAGGTAATAATGTCAACTTTAGATTTGCTTTGCGAAAGTAATTCCCAGTCATCAGACAACCGAAGTTTATAATAGATGTCCCCTGCTGCTGTATATTTTAGGCCCCGAATATCAGTTACCTACAAATAAAAATTAAACAATTAAATATACCGAGCACAATTTAAAGGTTTTAATTACTTTTGGTCGTCCTAGCTTATTCCCTGGTCAAATAATTCTAACAGCTCCTAACTTTTTTGATTAATCGCGAGAAAGAGTGATCTAAGTACATTACCTCGTAGAGCTTAGGATTTTTTCTGGTTCTTTACTCGATTTACACAACGTTCTATGATGGCATGCATGGAGTCCAACCTCTAAATATTTATTCTCAAGTGTAATATCATGTTTTCTGCATAAACTTAAAGCTGCGTTAGCCAAAGTCAGGTTTCTGTTCTGGTACGTTCAACCATCACATTATTATCTTTAGGTCATCTTTGTCCATTGTAGGACTGACTTTTGTTTCCAAAAATGAGGAAAATTCTTCTGCGGTTGGTCCAGCCTTCCCTTCATGCCATAAGAAACAATTTGTTGAGCATAATTATTATAAAAGCAAAGGCTGTGAACGCATAATTTTGTCTTGTTATATGAGCTGCTAACATTAGGTTTAGGAGGCATTAAAATAGCTTGAAGATCAACAGTAAATACGCATTTCTCGTTTTCCACGGCCTTTTGTTTTTCTACCCTGACCTCATTTTTGTTTAATGCGTGAGCGTTATACAGGTTGTCCGCCAAGTTAGGGTTTTCCTTTATACGACGTGTAGACCTTGAGAAATTAAGCGGATTTTCATATACATCAACGTCTCAAGAGAACCGAGATATTGGGTTCCGCAATCTCAATCAAACCTGAACCAAACCGAAGACGGTCCTGACCCTCGATCACGTCCACAGCGCCAGCGTACAATTATACAACATACGACTACGATGTAGATACGCTGGTATGCAACCTAACCTAGACGCCTAACCGATTGCTGTTCAAAAAATAAAAAAACGGCACACTCATACACCAATAGCTTACTCAACAAGTCAATTTCTTAAAAAAAAACAATAATGAATACTGATATTTCCCAAATACGCCCAAACGTATTTTAAGAGAAAAGCTGCCACTCTAACATAACGGTAATTTTGTTTAGTACAAACCAAAATAAACATATTTTTACAAAATCAAACTTACCTTTCATCAAAAAGTAATACCGGAACACCAAACTAATGTCAAACTGTGATATTTCAAAAAGAAGTCACGTTTATTCTAGAGCTGAAGAGCGTTTGAGGAGCACCCGTGCACCTGTCACTTTGTTTTGACTGGAGATAGCAGTATTTCGATGAATAACGTGTGGGGATCAGTTAGCAGCTTTACTCATCATAGCTCTTCAATCAGTTTTCGTACCAACTTGACAAACATTTAGTTTTGGTATGATAGAAAAGGAGTCATAGTTGTGAAATAGATAAATATCTCGAAAGTGATGAAAATGGAGTTAGCAGTTTAACGTATTTAGCCGACGATTTGTTTCATAATCTCAGTCAACATTTCTTGAGTTTATATAAAATGGGCATAGTCGGTAAGAGCTTCGCGTTTCCTGTTTTGATGTACATAACATGTCATGAGCTGGTATTATAAAAAATTGGATGACCAAACAAGCGCTCTGCCCATCGATTGAAGAACAACATAATGTCAACTTTTTCTTTCTCTCTTCTCGTTATTCACGATTTATCATGAATATATTGAAAGCGGTAAACTGTTAGGAAACTGGTATAGCTGTAGTCGACTACCAGTATCCCTCTATAAAGGGTGGCCCATCCACGTGTGGACGGAATATTACTCATAAACAAATAGATTTTGGGAAAATATATTTATGGGGTGTTATACACGAGATTTGAAGTTACATTTCTACAATATTGTCCATTATACAGGGTGCCTCAATTTCGAACTACATATCAAAGTTACGATTTTTCAAATAGAATGCCTCAAATTTTATCGCATATTTGGATAAGCTAATTCAAAAGAAGAAAATTGATATAACATACTATGGGGTTTTGTTAATTAGCTACTGAGATATAAGGTGTTTTGTTTATAAAAACCCCCCACTTCAGCAACCCTTCAGTCCGCCATTTTTAAATTTGTAGTGCTGAGTTCTGTATCATAAGAAACTTACACACCTCAGCTTTCATCTTATTTGTTACTTTTTCGAATTTTAATTTTTGCTCATACAGGGTGGTCAAAAACGCAAATTGTAGTTTTTCTCAAAAATTTCAAATGCATCACCCTGTATATTTGTGCAGGGTGGACTGCTAGAAACCCATTTCAAAAGTGGTATATTATTTTCTTCCATCCATTTTATAGCCTGTTTTGAGGTCTGGCACGCTGCACCATCTTGCCGAAAGACAAAATCTTGGCCGGATGTCAAACATTCTTCAATCACTGGTAACAGCGATTCTTCAAAAATTGCCAAATATTTGTTTGTATCCACATCTCGATCAATAAAATGAAGTTTTCCTAATCCTTTTGATAACATATGGCCCCAAATCATAATGGATGGTGGAAATTTCACTTTTCTCTTGAGACAGTCAACATGGAATGCTTAATTTTTTTGCGAATAACTCTACTGCGACTGTCACCAACACAAACTTCGAATCGGGCCTCATCACTCCATTGTATTGCACACCACTGTTGAGGTGTCCATTGTCTATGTTTTTTAACCCATCTAAGCCGATTTTGCAGTGGAGTTAATAGTGGCTTTTCTTTGGCCTATATACAAGTTCTGCAACTTTAGGGTTTTTACTTCACTTTTTTTTATCCCAGTTTGTGGGCCTCTCTATGAGTTGTGGACCTCGAAATTCTCCTTCCAACAGCGTCACTCCACAGAGCACTTAATTGTAAATAATTGGCATGCCTGTTTTTCACGATTCTTAATGCTCTTCGGTCGGCTTTTGTGATATTACTTTTTTTCACATATCGTGGCTTAATATTAACTGAACCAGTTGCGTTATATCTTCTAACAATATTTCTCATACTGTACCGCGATAAGTCTAACAAAGTTGCAATTTCTGAGTTTGATTTCCCAGAATTAAAAAATTTAATTATCAGTAACCGAATTTTTTCACCAATAACCTTTCCTCTACCCATTTTGAAAACCTTAACTAACCAAAACTATTTTAAACGTATTCTGACAGCTGTGGTTAATAAAAAGAATTGTCATGGCTTTTATTTTTCACAGCCACCTATGCGTTATAGATTTATTTTGCATTGAAGTGAAAATAGGTTGATATGCTGTAATTGCAACATGTGCTATTTTTATGCTGCAAATTTGATTAGGGAGTGATAAAGTTGGTGTTTTCTACTATATATTATCAAAATATTCACTGTTAATATTTTAAACCTATAACACCCTGCTACACTTTTATTATTTGTGTTTGATAAGAACAAAACTAAGATTTCAATAATTGGGCCAACTGAAGTGGGAAGGAGCTCGTAATTATATATTTAATAAACTGAATTATTAGATGTTGCAAAGACCAACTTTTGTGACATTTGTGTGTTAATTTCAATATCAATGAATTATGTTAAAATAAGATAAAATTTTGTAACACTGCGTTTTTTTTTTAAAAATATAAATTTATTATGGAAACTATCGAGAAAAGCGGCAAATTTATTTTTGCTTAGTATAGAAACGATAAATCACGTGTCACTGTTTTTTGGTTTACGACATTTACTTTAGCCCTCGCCAACAATTACAGGTATGATCCGAAATTACATTTAAAAGACTTTCTATAAGGTCAAGTCACTTTGCAATATTCATTTACTTTTATTCTGTCTGTTTATTCAGTTCCAAAAGTCTAGAAACGTGGACCCAATTTTCGCAGACTCACGATTCTTACACTTAACTGCCCTTACCTGAGTAGGGCAGTAAACTGACGTCATATTTCGATGTCAAAATACAGTACATTTCATGATAAATACCGGAAATCTAACTTTTCACAGTATCTAGTGTTTTTACGATCATCTTATCCAGAATACTGTATCTACACCACAATAAATTAAAACATAGTAAATGACACTTACTTCTTGCTTAGAAACCATGGAGATTCTGTGTTTTACTTTATAACCAAATCAGTGGCGCTAGCAAATACTATAAGACATACACTTAACCACGCAGAATTCATAATATTTCTATCTGCTTTTCTTTGGTCTTTTAGCATATATGTGAGGATACTGTGAAAATTGTTTATAGGTTTCATATTCTATAAAAAAAGTAGTAGCTCAGACAATTCTTGGGTTACAGAATATGCTTTTTTATTTATAGATAGGCATCCACGGTAAGGTTAATGAATTCGTTAGGACATATTATCAATTTCAACCGGGTACAAACCAAAAGCATCTTTTTCCATAAAACCTTCAAATTTGAAAAGGATTGCAAACATATTCTCATCGCTCCTGTAAAATGTGAATTTAGCAGATACTTGGTTCGGGCTTGTGATGACAGTTAGTCTGTCAGAGCCATGCACTCTGTTACGTGGGTCCGTAGACTAAGAATCGATCAAGTTTCCATGCGTGGCCTTCAATTAAACCATATATTTCTAGGATCATCTATATTTAAATCTTTCCATAACAACAAATTTGATGAGTTACAAGGTGAAAGCACCTTTCCATCTACCACACTTTCTTCTCTTTGCCTCTCTCTTCCCTTCTTATCTTTTCTTTTTCCTTCTTTATCGTTTGCTTTTTCTGGACACCAAGCAACAGCGACTGATAGATCTACTGAGCTACATTACTTCAGCCAGGAGTCAAAGCGTTACGGACCTCTCCGACAATGACGAAAGCAAATCGTATTATGACAAAACCAGTTTGAGTTTATTTTAGCGGCTATAGTTTTCCGTCAGAGGATCAAGCAATGGAACGCCCTAGAATTTCTAAAATCCATATAATGCACTCTGCATGCGAAATTAACATACTGCCCGGAAACGCAAAATGTCTAACTAACCTTTCTGCCAAAGGCAAACCGTCACGTCACATCCCCGGCTCAGCAAAATTTTCATCAAGTGCAAACTTTTCCGTGGAGGTATAACGGCTGGTGAATATTCATGCGGG